TTGTTTATGTCCCTGTACTTTGGTTGGTTTGTTACTTTTACATTTACAGATATACCTAGGCTTTTTCTTCTATATACTCTTTTTTTTTTTTTTTTTTTTCCCCCCCCCCCCCCCCCCCCCCTGTCGGATGCTCATGCACAAAATCTTTGATCCCGACAGCTGGTGTGGGTAGCCGATTGTTACTTTGTACGTATACGACCGAATTTTTCTTTGCAGTAACTAATTTCTCTGATATTGGTGCAATTAGGGAGAATGTGTAAGAGCAGGGGTCAGCCGACCAATTGCTGAGTTGGTACCTTCGTATTTCATGGATCGGTTGGCTCGGTTGGATGCCCAAACGCGCTGGATGGTAGATACGCCGGCGGCTGAGCGTGAGGGGTGTGGGACGGGTGAAACATATTAGAGGGGATAAGGATTAGGAACACCACGCTTACCTTTGCAGCAGGCAGGTCTTGAGGGTTGAATCTATGCTTTCTTTTGCTCGTGTGGTAACCTTGCGGTCGGGTTTAGCTAGGTAGTCTTTTGGTCAGCTGGTCAAGGACTTCTCTTAATCCAAGTTCTCCGTTACTGACTCTATAGCCCAAATGAGACTCCTAGACGGCCGTAGCCTCTAGGTTCTTTGGAATCAAGCATCAAGTCCTGAATAGGTCTCGCCTCGAGGATGAGCGATGAACGCGACGTTACATGCCCTATAATAAAGTACGTACCGAGTAAGTACCTCAGAATCGCACCTCGGGATTCTACCTATCATTAGGGCTAGTTCGCCGGGCAAAACAGAGAAGAATCAGGTAGACATTATTATTACTTTCTTATTAGCGACTCTGTTTAAGATGAGAAAGGAAATATGTTCACTTCCGAATGGGAGCTCCCCACGGCATGTATCGCAGCTAGTAGGAGTCGTAGGAAATTGATCAATTTCTTTCATTAGAAGGTCCCAAAAACGTGGTGTCAAGTAAACATGTGTTGATAGACGTCATTACAACGTACTATCTGTGGCTTAGCTTTTGGAATAGAGTGTCAAGCACCCGTCGCAAATTTATTGTTCATGCATAACTGGTCTGAAGTCGCAAGAGTGAAGTGCTAGTAGTTGGCTTGGTCTCGATACTATTTGAATAGCTCTTGTTCTTATTAGGACATGCCGTTTCCAAGTTAAGTATGGCGTCCTAGTAGTCGTAATTTCATCACAGTGAGCGGCTGGCAAGATAGACTCTTACATGTGCTCAAAAGGCCGGTTTGATGTCGCTGACGTCGCGACTTATCCGATGACGATCCGGATAGGTCTGCCTGAAATAAAGTACGCATGTGCTTACTATGCATACTCATTGCGGTATTGATGTTGAAAATGGGAGGAAGGGAGATGATCAAACGGACGAGAAACCTGGTCAATTTCGTCCAACGGATGCTACATACCAGATCTCAAGAGATCCTTCATTGGCCTGGCGGTTAAGGTGGCCAAAGTGTATTTTGCAACTGTAAAATAAAATGGAATCATTCTAGAATATGATGATGGCATGGTAAGAAAAGCCGAAGTAGGAGAGAGCGCCGAGAAGGATGTCTATTTTTTTTTTTATTTGGACTGGTTCGACAGGTTGGATCGGTAGCAAAGAAGGAAGGGAAAAAGGAAGGTAATCTTGGTCCCAATGGCCAGGAATTCACTCCATAAGACCTAGTAGCGTGTAAATTTCCATGCCCTAATACAAATACAGTATAGTGTGGAATCTAGCCTAGTAATAAAACTCACACGTGCTAGGTACCTATAGTGCAGGTACATTTATAGATACATCTATATGTACTTCAGCGTGTAACTTAGCGGGGTCCCCACCCCCATTCGAAAGGACCTAGAGCCCCGCGAGTTTAAAATGTCTAAAAGATCTAAAAGATCTAAAATACTTTTTTAAAAAAACGTGGTCGGTCCGAATATCTTCAATACACAATATTTAACCTTATTAGAACTTAGCTCTCCCTGATCACAGCCGCATCCCGTGATACATATGGACTAAAAGCGGAATATGTATTAACTATGTTCGCCAACATCTAATAGTTTCCTTATGCTCGGCGTAAATGCGGGCACCTTTCGGATGGCATAGGCTCAAAACGTACATAACTCATCTAGCTAGCCCTTAGCGCAGCGTCCAGCAGCATCTAGCAGCCCCAGGTTCTAATTACGCCCAGGTTTATAGCTTCCTTTTCCCCAGTCCCCAGATTCTAATCAATAAACCACACACTCGGGTACGAGATGAGTTTCGGATCACCCGTCAAATATGCAGGTAGGAATGGGGAAGGGGAATCAAATCACCTACCTATGTCGAACCCACGAGGCGATCGGCCACTGGAATCTTTCCTCTGCATGCTTCATACCTACGTCGTACAATATCAGTGAATGATACGACTCTCGGAACATCCCGTTACCGAAAACTCGGAACTAAACAATCTCCATATCTCTAGAATACGGAGAAAATTCCTACTTTTTCACTGACTATTTCTCGGCCCTGCTAAATTAGACCCTGGTCATTTGGTCCATGTTCGACTTTCCCTCCTATTCGTGGTGTTTTGTCTACCGAGGCCCAGAGGGAGGTATCCTTGTCCAAGTATAACTATTAGTCTTCCTTCGGCGTACGCTAGCCCTAAATCCCATCGCTAACACAACGCGTTTGATCTCGGCGGTTATACCTCCTTGGACTCAACGATATTTCTCGCTCCTTATGGTCTCGCTTAGCAGGGAAAATGGGACTACAATGTGACTAGCGGCTAAATACGAGCAAGAGGGAAAAGTTATCATCTGGCATCATGATATTGTGAATGCCTATAGAATCGTTATTGAGGGTTACCTAAATAGTGATGACGAACGACCAAACTTAGCGTTATCTAAGGATATAGTTTCGACCATATTTATCATCTCTGTTATACGTCCTGTCTCAACATGATTCTCCTGCCATCTTACGTGTAACCGAGTTTGAACTAGCCCATATATATAGGCCATCCTTCGTCTTAAAGGAGCTGGTCGCGTGATGCGGTCAAAATTACGCCTTACGAAATGAACCCTAGATATCTCGAGTGGAGAGCCGAGGTGTCGAGGGTCATACGGCTGTACCAAAGTTACTTTGGATATGTCTCTATTCTCATCCCCTGCGGGTATCTAGCGATTCGCTGTCGGAGTCACTTGAATATATCATTCTTCTTCGTTTATCTCACCTTACTTGATCATAAGTAATATTTGAACCTGACCAACAAAGGACTAAGTGGGTATTACCGGGTACGCGACGCTTACCTAAGCAGGCCATCTAGGTTAATCCAAGTCACAGATCTCTTTCAATTATGGACCCAGGCAAACGCCCACAGACAGGTAATGTGTTTACCAAGTTGAGTATCTATCTTAATATTGCATAGCCTTGCTGTACCTTAATTACTTACACAAGTAAGCAAACATACAGTCGTGATTGTAAAGTAATACGCAAACTCCCCTCGACCAATTCCAATGTATGCATACAAGAGCATATCACATCGTGTCCTTATTCTCATAAGCCGTGCGCAGTTTTGTCACACTCATCTTCCTTCTACCTATTAGACTTACGTTCCGTAGATGTAATTCGCCATCAATTGTAAACTCGGCCATCTAAACGACACACTCGAGTTTTCCTATACTCCAATGCATGGGGCAATAATAGTGTTCTCGCGTTTCAGGCCCGACGCTTCAAAACCGACGAGCTTCAACACAAGGGAGAACGGAATGGTGGGGAAAACCAGGTTGATTTTGGGTATAATCCTCTATCCATATCGTCGAACAAAACCACGCTCCTTATATACCCTTTAGACATGATTGAAAACCCTGAACAATCTAGGATTTTGATACTGGCTTTTTCTGTCGTGTCGTGTGGTTCGGCCCCGTTTAGCTCTTAAGTCGATAGCGTCCTCGTTCGTCGTCCGCCTCGTTCTACTTCTGGAAAAACCAGCTGCTTCTCTTACCGGCATTGCCTTCGTTTTGTAGGTTGGCGATGGTTGGAACTTGGGCTGGTGCATCTCCAGCGCCACCTCCACCACGGAGAGGTTTCGCAATGCGACTGCCCGCGTTAGCAAAACTGAATCCACCAGCGCCAGACGGCGAGTTTAAGCCACGAGTTGATCCAGCCTTAGCCGCCTCGAGACGCTCCTTAACCGCAGTAAGTTGTGATTCGAATCTGACGGTAATGTTAGTAGACGATAACAAAACAGCGGAGGGGAAAACAAACCGGTGATTGGCGGCGGTTAACTTCTCCTGACTATCTTGCAGCAAGCTCTCTAAACTAGAGATACGCTCGTTCCTTGCAATGAGTTTTCTTTCAGCTATGGCTACCTCCTTCTTTAGACTGCTGTTTTGTTCGACGAGTTGTCGTTGAACCTGAGTCAATTGCTCTAAATTACGCTCAAGGAACGCCATCTTCTTTTGTTGGGCACGATTGTTAGACGACCGTAGTACATTATTATACTGCTCTCGAGTCTCATCAAGCGAAATTTCTAGTTCAACGACTCTCTCGCACCTGTTCTGCAAATCTCGCATGAGGCTCTTCTTCATGACGTCGAACTCGGCGATTTGCTGCTGCATCGTCTTGCCGTTGGCCAAACCTGGGACACCGCTATGTAGGGACAGCTCCGCTTGTCGTACGATACCTTGAGTCTCCACCAACTTAGCCTTCAGATCTTGTAGATCATCCGGTGGAATAGGGTCTCCTGATGAGCTTTGCTCGTAGAGGGCCTCGACTTGTTGAATAGCGTTGGTTATTGATTGCTCATTAGCACTGAATGCTTCTCCACCAAGATCGAACCCTGCCATCATCTTAGCCATCTTCTCGGCCTTTTTCTTCTCCTTATCGTCCAAGACGACGCTTGTCTCTTTAGCGCTCATCTTAATATCCAGAAGCTGTTGTTTCACCTCATCCAGCTCTGTGGTTAGTTCCGAATTTGCCTCTTTCAAGGCATCCATCGTAATCTGGGCCTCCTTGCTTTCGAAAGTGAGGCGCTCGAGCTGCATTTTAGCCTCGTTGACCTCGGTTGTCAACCGCTCGTTCTCTTTGCCCATCTTGCTGTCATGCTCCTTCAAGAAAGATAGTTCTTCCTTAGATTCTTGGAGGGACTTCTCGGCCGTTGCAACAGCTGATTCCTTCTCTGCTAATTGATCTTGCAGTTCATTCTCTCTTCGGAGAAACTCCTCTCTCTCGTCCTTATCTAAAGGTAAACTTGGAGTTCCTGCACGTTCCGTTAATGCAGGCGTTTCGGAACGACTTTCGGGTATTAACCGAGATGGAGTCGAAGGTCGATGAGCTTTCGTGTCCGCCCGTGTGCTCACAACACCATCAGCTGACATTGCTTGCACCCATCGCTCCTTAGGGACAGTTTCGCCACCGCGCCATAGTTGAAGTTCCCCCTCGAGATTTGAAATATACGTTTCAAAAGTTGTGATATTAGATTTGGCCTTGGCGAGCATAGCTTTAAGCTCGGCGGGACTGAGTTCGGCGTTGACCTTTGCCTTGTTCTTAATCGATTTAGCTCTCATACCAAACCGCAGGGTACTCAGTGTCTCAGCATCGTTGTAGCTACTTGGTGAACAATTTATGATAAGTGTGGTCCTGCTATTTCCACCAAGAGACTCTTGTAGAATTCTCGTTAATTTGGAATCTCGGTAGGGAATGTGTGAGGATTTGCCGTCGGTAAGTGCGTTGATGACCATTCCCAGGGCGCTCAAGCTCTTGTTGATCTTCTTCGCCTCCTCCAAAGTCTGGCCGCTAGCACCAGTCTTGCCAACCTTTTCGCTGCCAGCCAAGTCGACCAAGAATAACTGCCCGCTCTTCATTGAACCGGTTTCGAGGTTTTTCTGAGATATTGTAATAACAAAAATGGAATGCGAGCGAGAGGACTCTTGGTTCATGTTAGTGGCAGCGACAGCTCTTGCATTCCCACCCCTCTTCATAACCTCAAAGACCTCTTCTACACTCGAGACATAGATCTCTAGAAGACCTTTTACGTAGACACCACGGTTCTTCTCCTCGTGAACAGGCAGGTTGTCATTCTGCGGCGCTAGCAAGTCGCGGATACGCTCCATATAGATTTCCATATAACTGACTCGAACCGTATATTCAATAGTCGGCGGACTTGACATGATACTGCTGAAAATTTGCTCCACGATGCGGGGTGTGATACCTTTTCCTTCCTCGTCTTCTATACTCGTTCCCATCATCGTGTAAGATTTTCCTGCGCCCGTCTGACCATATGCAAAGACTGTTCCATTGTAACCGTTAAGGATGTCGTCGACGGTGGGCTTGATCGAGTAATCAAATATATCAACCTGTTTGCCTTGCATATCAAACACGCGGTCAAACGTGAAACTACCAGCAGCTTCTGCCGACTAAATATTGAATAGCTTCGTTAGCACGAGGAAAAGTGGAAATGAATGGGGGACGGGAAGCACGGCTGGTAGACGCACATTGAGGGCACATGTGTCGGGACCATCGAAAGAAACAATGGGCTCTCCGCCGGATGCCAACTCGACCTTGTTCTGCGGCCGAAAACGGGCGACGACCTTGATGCTATTTGCGCTAGCCATGATGACGTTTTGGCGTTCTGAGACGGCTACGCGCAGGGGAATGGTGTGAGAAGAGGCGGCCTAGTTCATGTTACGGAAATTGAGGGGAAAAGTAAGGGTTTTGCAAGTATAGACACAGCTCGGCCGATAGGACGGCGGGCAAGTCGGGGAAGAAAAAGATGCCGTAAGATAACAATAGATTTCTTGATTTATGCTGTGCTATGTTTGAGTATTGCTGATGCAACCGGGTGAGGCGCAGAGGGAGGGAGTCGCGTCAATGTTGGAGTCGGCGTTGTATTGGGAGAAAAAAGGCGGCGTTTACGTTTTCGGCAGGTTTCGGCCTGTGCCTGAGGTCCAAATGTACATACAGTACTGCAAGTACTGTACCTGTCCAGGGGAACTGTTGCTAGCTGCACCATGTAGGCGTACCTATGCAAGGAAGTCAAGAAGCTACGATTGGTTCAACCACTTTGGATATGCTCAGGAAGGTGCTATACGTACCTACCCTACTAGCGCTTTCATGCGACGGTATATTTCCTCCAAGGTTTCAGAAATATGCAGTTTTACTAACATTGAATAGAACCTTTTAGATGTACATATGGATGTACATTCTGCAAGACTTCCACCTCTAACCAAGTACACATGTACTGTGCATCGTCCAAAATCTAGCCTTCGGAAGGGAAACACCTAGCGCAAATATTAAAAAAAGACCTGTTTGTTTATAGTGGACAGTACAGGAAAGTACAGCTAGATTTTTATATTCCGTAAGACCTAGGCCCCGTAATTTTTAAAATTCGGTTCTTTATTATTAGAAATGCGAACTTCACATGTACCCTGCAACTTTAAGTTGCCGTTCATGCATCCACCCAGGAAAAAAACGATCATTCATCCAAGAATATCTGATATATATGCGACATACTTTTTTATAATCGTTGTCATTTTACCTTACATGTATCTGTTACAAAATCACGTAAACTACCCAAGCAGGTGTATATTATTCCCAGTATACGCAAAAAAAAAAAAAAGGCCTGGGCTGATGCAGACTTGTTGGGATATCTCCCATATAAAGCATGACTCCCTTAACAATTAATTCCCCAAGCATCAAGGAGGGTAAGGTTCTCTTATAGATACCTCGAGCTATGAAATATGAAAATCATTCCTGTTCGACGCCTACCTAAACGCCGAGCCCTAGCGACGCCCCTTTAGAGATAATTCTTACCATCAGAACCTGAATGGTTCCACGTCAAACTTCCGTTGGGATTCTTAAATTCCAGCCGTAGGGAATCCATTCGTCTCCCCAAATGCGAATGTCGTGATTGAAGACGTGTACCATACGCCTTAAGCAAGTGACAGTACTGAGCGTCCCATTTGCGCGATGAAAGACATATTTAATCCTCCCAGCTCTTCTCCACAGTCTCACGCACCCTTTTAGTGTATTCCTTTCGATTGTCCTTGTAAAGATTGGAAGCTTCCACGTTCGCAGGGGAACCGGTATTGGGGTCATTGAGCAAACTTCGATGTCAGATATGTCAGCATTCCGTAAGATACGATAGTAAGCATATACCAATTCTTGCTCACCTTTGAATGCTTGTCAAAACAGCCGCCACATCGTATGTGGGACTCCATCGATTCTGTAGGATGTCTAGGCATAGCTCGCCGGTAGCATAGACATTCGGGTGGAACATTTGGCTGATAAATTTAACGGCGGGTGGCTTGTTCGGATACTGCTCTTCAAAGTGCATGACTAGTCGGAAGGTTCCATCTTCGAATGGCGTATCAGCGGGCCCAATAATTACGGCATTCCTATTCAGATCCGTCGTTAGCTTATGTATTGCGCTGAGAGGTTTCGAAAGTTCGGCCACGAACTTACCAAGTCATGACATTGTCGGGGACAGGGGACGCAGACACCCCAGCTGGAGGGTCGGTTTGCATGCGCTAGAATGCTTCGTCAGTGTTGTTTCTGCTAAAAGGAGAAGATATTGTGAACCTTGAAGTCACGCATTAAACGGCGGCGTGCGGCAGTCGACATATCGAGCTACGTCAAGGAGATGACGATTGAATGGTCAACCTATGAAACTTAGCCGATAGGCTAAGAAATTGCTTAGAGGCTTGGAGTGAGAATTTACTGAAATGAAGAGAAATAGAAAAGGTAGGGAAGAGGAGGCAAACGAGGTTGATTAAGAATGATGATAATAATTGGCGTTGTTCTTTGGGCGGCGACTGTCCTGATAAGACAGTATCGGTAGTGGGAAGGAATTGACGTGACAAGGGTAGTGTTGCGGCAAGTTGTACTGTACCTAGGTACTTCCTACGCGTTGTAGCACAGTAAATCCGTAACTGTGTGTGCGTGTGTGTGCGTGCGTGTGTGTGTGTGTGCTTATGGAAATACGCGTGATTATGTAAGTTGACTGTGTGGGGGGGAGGGGGGGGTGGTTCAAATTTAATGTGCTTAGGTACTTCTATACTTGTGTGTACGACGTTTTTCATTACATATAATATAGGTTTACGTCCAAATTTTAAGGCAGAACATGGGAAATAAAGCATACATTCTAATACCTACATACCTAGGTATGTATATATAAATACATGGGTCCCATGTGAAACTATCCAGGAAGGCACGTCACAACAGAATTTTTGAATGCGGGTAGTTCATGGCAAGCTGCTTCCAGGATTGGGTTCCCTCGGTTGATTGCCACGAGAGAGGGGCAGAATTGACTACCTAGGTACCTATCATAAGGGTCTATCATTCCGTTGTAAACCGAGGTGCTAGTAAGCTTTGAAAGGATAACGGTGGCCCTTTTAAACCCGTTAACATTCAAGTAAAAGCCGTGACGTTACCATTCTGCTATTTCAACTGATATCAACTCAAAACATTCTAACAATTTCTATATTTTCCTACTGTAGATCATACTCATGATATTTGTTTTCCAATGCGCCAAAATAAACAATGTTGCGACCTAGTGTATTAAGATACAGCTCCAAACGCCCATCCTTTCGGAACGGGGCTCGGGCTTTCCCTCGGTCACGATACTTCTCAATACAGATTCCTCAACGACAAGAAGTACGGGATGCATATATTTTAAGTGCCTCCAGGACGCCTACTGCGAAGGTAACAACTTGATCCCGAAATAACCATCAATACCGAAGTCACTAATATAAAAACTAGTTTAATGGCTCTTTTCTCACTATATCTGCTCCACAGCTTGCTGCTGTCGCTATTAAGTCTGCTCTAGAAAAGTCTAAAGTCCCAGTTAAGGATGTCACGGATGTATACATGGGAAACGTCTTGCAAGGGTCAATTGGCCAAGCTCCTGCCAGACAAGCCGTCATTTTTGCCGGTCTTCCTTCAACCGTTGAAGCAATCACCATCAATAAGGTCTGTGCGTCGGGCTTGAAGGCAGTCGTTTTCGCAGCCCAGAATATACAGCTCGGCCTCAGCGAGGTGCAAATAGCAGGCGGCATGGAGAATATGTCTCAGGTGCCGTATTATGTTCCTCGCGCGAGTACACTGCCCCCGTTTGGACACATCAAGATGGAAGACGGACTGATAAAGGACGGGTTGACGGACGTGTACGACCAATTCCATATGGGAGTCTGCGCCGAAACAACCGCCAAAAAATATGAAATATCCCGCGAGGCGCAAGATAACTACGCTATTTTGTCATACGAACGAGCTCAAGCTGCGTGGAAGGACAATGCGTTCGCAGACGAGATCGCTCCGGTCACCGTAAAAGGCCGGAAGGGTGACGCTATCATTGACACCGATGAGGGTTATTTGGATATTAAATTGGATAAGGTCTCTACCCTGAAACCTGCCTTTGTTCGCGATGGGACTGGCACCGTTACCGCAGCGAACTCGTCTACGTTGAACGATGGTGCCAGTGCTCTAGTACTAGGAAGCAAGGATGTCGCCAAAGAATTCGGAGCCGGTTCGAGAGTTCTGGCGAGAATATGCAGTTCCGCTGATGCCGCAGTCGATCCTGTAGATTTCCCCATCGCTCCAGCTAAGGCTGTGCCCATTGCTCTAGAACGTGCGGGGATTACAAAAGACCAGGTTGCCGTCTGGGAATTTAATGAAGCGTTCGCCGCTGTAATTAAGGCAAACGAGAAGGTAAGAATTAAGAACCCACCTGAAGCTGTCTAATTATTAACGAGGCGATAATAGATTCTGGGGCTTCAAAATGCTAGAGTAAATCCATTAGGCGGCGCAATTTCCTTAGGACACGCGCTGGGTAGTTCAGGATCCCGAATCCTTACAACACTATTACACCAGCTTAAGCCAGGAGAGTATGGTGTCGCCGCTATTTGCAATGGAGGCGGCGCTGCTACTGCTATCGTTGTCCAACGGATCGACGCGGTGTAGGCAAATTGGATGATTATTTTAAAATGGAAGAATGTATACGTCAATTCGTCGTATCTTACAATGGGGAGAGAGCTAATTTTATAAGTTCAGACATCCTCTCGGGCACAATTAATGCCTAATAACTGGTAATAAGACTGGTAAGCATCTAGGTTCAGCATACGTACGTTCATACATCTCTCGTGGAGTCTATAAGGCCAGGTCCATGTCGATAGGGGGTAGGTCATATACATATATGAATGTATTTGCTTATATACCAAATCATCGTAGTATACCTACATATGTAGGTAGATATTTGAATACCTAGGTAGGCATAACCTTTTTATACATATGTACGTACTAGATGACGTAACCCGTGCCCTATACATCCGTAGACGCGAACCTGCCTGCCTGCGCCAATTGATGGTCCCTTCCCCTTCCTTAATTGGTTAGTACAGTTGGGTGGATTCCTGTGCAGGGTCCACATCCTTAATTATTGTATCCGCGTACCTAGCTAGATAGGTACACATTTTTACAGCTTGCAACTTCAAGACTCGAAGCGTTGCTGTCGCATCGACTGATTAATGGATCCGATATCAGCATAACTACTTGTTGCGGAGAAGACGAAGACTCCTCGCAACATCTTCTTTTTATTACAATTGTTTTCGTTTCCTCCCTCTGGCGATCGATTACCATCAGGTTATACGTTTATACATATCCGTATAATGCCTTTAGCAAAGCCCATCCCGTAACGCGATCTCATACGGTTCTCCCATAATGTCGTTAACCACCAAATTCCTCGCTGGAATTCGCGATATACTTAAAAGTCTTGATGGAGAAGCGCTACGTGATTGGCTAAAGGTAGAGCCACCTTTGCCACAAGAATATTATGATCTGGCAGCTGAGCTCAGGAATGGCTATCAAGATGATGAGATGCTAGAAAAGCTCGTCGAGGACTCTTTACCTGAAGAAGACGTATCAGAAGGGCAGGGAACGTCGTGGCCCGGCTTCATCGCCTTCGTAAAAGATTATCTCGAATATTGGAGGGACGTAGATTTCGATGACCTCCTAAGAGCCCATCAGCTACTTACAGCATTGACTAAGTACTTTGCCCCGTCATCTTATAAGTTTCACGTCTCCTTCAGCTAACTAGAGCAGTTCATGCGCAACGGGGCTTAATAATCCTACTTATGGAACCATTATGTTACAGACAAGCATATCACTCTGCGCGTCTCTTTCGACTTTGTCTATGACGCTGAATAAACGGCCCGATTTAACAAGGAAGCTGGCTGCCTTCCATGCCGGCGACGAGGAAAGGAAATCTGTCATCGAGGTCACAGCGGAGATTATGCAGAAATTCTTCACCACATGCCTTACCGATCGTTCGAGCCCGCGGTTCGCGCAGCCTACGGGCAAAAAGGCTGGCATCTACATATTTGCCAACAAAACCTTGAAGCTTCTTACCATGGTACATAAATTTATGCAATCAACCCACGTCGGAATTTGTCATTACTAACCTCCACAATTCCTCAGAATAACAAGTCTTATTTGGCGACGCAGCTCTTAACCAACATCATGGCAAAATCTCCACCGCTGTCGTACTACCCAGCCGCTCAGAGAGTGACGTTTCTCTATTTTCTCGGTCGTTTTCACTTTAATCATACGCACTACTGGCGGGCGGCGCAATGCTTCCAAGAAGCCTATTCACAAACGCCACCACGCTTCTTAAAACATCGGCGTATTGTACTCACTTATCTAATACCCTGTAACTTTATCTTGGGTCGCCTGCCCTCTCAGGCTCTTTTACAGCGACCGGAAGCGCAATCCATGGCTCAATGTTATTCTCAGTTCTCGGAAGCAATACGCAAAGGCGATTATATATACTATCAGCACACATTTAAGCAATATGAAAAATGGCTACGAGATAAAGGTTTACCGTTGTTTACTGCCCTTCAGTACCGCATCCGACCACTGCTTTGGCGATCACTTTCTCGACGAACCTTCCTCCTGACATACACGCCACCCACCGAGGATGACTCGCGTAAAGCTGCTATATTAAAACTTGGGGATCTGCAAACCACAATGACTTATGTTCAAAAACGCCTAGAAGGATACCTCCCCGCTACACCGGCGCCGAAGGGACGACAAGCGAATGTTAACAGTTATCTATTAAAAGCCGTCTCTAACAGTGCCGGTTCCACCCCTAAAATTTCTACGCTCGTAGCTCCCCCCGGCGGACCTAAGCAGTTACCGGCAGATGAGGGTATATTGTCAGGGAACATAGCGGTCAAGGACTATCACGTCGAAAACATAGTTGCTTCGTTAATCGCTCAGGATCTTCTCCATGGATACATAGCGCACTCTCAAGCGGTCTTCGCGATTATGGGTACGAAGCAGAAGGGCAGCGCGCTAATTGCAGGATGGCCGAACGTGAGCGAGGTGATAGATCAAAGATCAATCGAAACATTTGTCCCTGGCTGGGTTAAAGACGAATAGACGTTGTTTATATATAGCCTTGGGGATGACGCCTAAGTTTGATACACATTTCAAACTCAACCGCACCTAGAATACTAGACATAGAGCAAGGATGATGATATTCAGTAGATCGGACTCATGAATGATACCCCCGTACGCACTGATCCATATTCTATCACAATACAATTCCACATATTTTAGCAGCTTTACGCATTATTATGACCTTTGAACACCATCATTCATCCGCACCAGCCGAGGAACATAACATATAACCGACACTAAAAGAATATATGAACATAGTAGTAACATATAGCGTCTAGTTATGTTAAACTTGCGTAAAAATGAACGCCTTCGCGTACCGAGCAGCAACCACTACGACATGTCATTATTAATCCATGAATAATGTTTGAGGCTGAGAACAACGAAGTTGGGGCACCGTCAAATTATCTGACAGTCTTACCAATACAATTTTCAGCATATTATAGCAAAGCAACAATCTAATCATTAGCCTCAACATAATTATAAATAGTTATAACTAGGGTGTTTAATCTCGACTAGACACGCCACAATTGAACACTGACAAGTGCCGGCATCGACGAAACGTGCTATGGCAGAAAATATGCCTGAATCACGACAAGCGCAGAGGTACAAAATCTCCAACTTCCAAAAAAAAAAGATAGTACCATTAAACCCAGAAATTTCCCGGCCGCGACACCCCCAACTTAGGTATCATAAGTACAAAATCTGATTCGCGTCTCGTCTTATTCATACGCCCCTCGGCCCCCAAACCAGGGCTTTCTCAGATAAACTAGTACTCGCTCCATCGAAAACATTCAACTCCACATCTCACTGTCGAACGTAGAATAACACTTCAAGATGGCAGCGAAGCTTCAAAACATCCAATCGCAAACGCTCTCCATAAAACAGGGTATAGGAGGAAAATAAAAAACAATGCGGCTCTAGGTGAGCAAGAAGGATATCCCAAGAAGATAAATATACGATAATTCCAAAGAGTTTCGATAGCCAGACAATAGATAATAAACACTACTGAATAAATGATTCGTTATATGTGACGGGCCCTGGGGGGGCATCATGAGCATCCCAGGCTGAGGAAATTATGCGAGCGAAGGGGCGCGCTACCGCGATGAGATAGAAATGTATATACTGGACGGCATCCGCAGTCGTATATACGCCAAATAGAGAATAAATAAAGTTCAACCTTCTCCGCAACCAAGGCAGAGAGTTAGAGCTCCTGAGAGGGACAGTAAGAAGTAGGCAAGGCGGAGAACAGCTCACGCCTACATGCTCCACTTACTTACAACCGAGCCATTTCAGAGCAAGTAACTAGCAGCCACAAATGCGACAATAAGGCCCGCAATCGCAGCACCACCCTGACGTTGAGCAGCGCCTTCGTTTGTATTCGATGTCGTTGAAGCGGGTTCTTCACCGCTAGTCGAAACGGGAACGGGGGTAGGAGTCGAGGAAGGCCCGGCCCATGAAAAGCTTGTACTAGAGGTTCCGTTCTCCTGGAAAACTCCTCCCAGGTAGAGTGACGCACTAGGGCTACTCGAGTGGCTGGACGGCGAGTGAGTGCTAGACGCTATGGTGCTACTGGTTGATGACGCGGTCACAGACGTTTTGGACGAGGTTGATACGGTGGTCGTGGAGGGCGTAGATGTCGTGCTCGATGGCGTTGAACTCGAAGTGCTAGATGTGCTAGGGGTTGGAGTAGATGTAGGAGTGGAAGAAGATACAGGCTGGGAAGAACTCGACGCTCCAGCATCTCCTTCAGAGCCGTCCAAGTTAAAGACGACGATGTTGGCCTTGGTGCCGCTGGGAACGGTGACGACGCAGAAATCGGAGCCACCAGCACCGGTTGCTTTGTTGTCACTTTTCACACCAGATCCATCGATCTCGCATTTAGAACCATTGCAACCTCCTTCTGGACATTCGACTCTAAGACCAAAAGTTGGTTTGGTGTTGAAAAGCGAAGAACTCTGCCACACCGGGTTTATTCCTAGTTTGACATAGGTCGAACCATCCGCGACCGTATTAGCACCAGCGACATAGGGAGACCAATTACCAATCGGCTTCGACTGATCTCCCCAGTGGCATCCCTCCTCTGAGCCAATTCCGGGGGCATTTATATAGAAACTAAGCGGCATTAATAAGGAGAAACGGCTTATATAAAGAAAGGGGCACTTACTGAGCTGCCGTAGCATCCCAATAAGACATATCCGGTACAGCCAAAATAGCAGTATCAAAAACATCGGTTGGGATGATCATATCTTCGTAGCCTGGGAGACAAGTCTGACAGAAAGATACCACCTTCCCGGCTTTATTAACAGCCTCCACGGCACCGGTGCCGTCAACGCACCACGGTTTGTTTTTGAAGGGAACCTCGATCTCTCCATCTTCGTTACAATAGACACCTCCGTACTACAACATGATTAGCGGATCTATCGAAGCATTCCAAGAGATTATTGACTACTAACGGTTGATTGTGGGAACGTGTATGTTGTACCTGGCTTCCACTGCGCCATTACCTGTCCGGATGGACAAGCGATAGGACACCACGTACCCGAAACGCATTCTTGATCAGGGGCTAACGCCCAACCACCATTTAGGGCAGATGGGGTAACAGCAAACAATCCCTCATCATCTGGGAACTTGCATTTCCTCTTGCCATCTCGCGACACAAGTGCCGAACTATTTCGCTCGCTATACTTCGGGTTGTAAGAGGTTTCGAGATGGACTTCATGGTGGCCATGGCTGTGCTTCTTCTCCAGGTGAAGATGATGATGTCGATGTTGAGCAGTAGCAGCGCATAATTGGGCATCTAGAAGGAGGACTGCCGATCCAATAGCAGTGTTTATCGTTGTGATCTTCATGATAGATCTCGGGAATGATTTCGTTTCAAACGAGTGTAAGTGTGCTCCGAACAGGTAAAACTAGAAGCGCATGCCCCTCTATTGGCGCATCGACAAGTGATCAACGAGAGGATCAACACTAGAGACGACGATCGATCGATATCCTGAATTGTGGACGCTGGATGAGGAAGAGCGTAGACACGGAGCAAGTTGGAAGGATTCTAAGATAAGCGCAGAATTTGTTTTAAATGAGTGGCTAGGAGATGATTCTCCACGATAAGGAGCGACAATTAGCAAGCAAAAGGCAAAGCGAGGGTAAAGGAAAAAACAAAAACGAGGGATTTAGGACCGCGATGTTCGAAAGGAGAGACGAGTAGGAGACGAGAGGGCGAAGACTGGGGTGCAAAGACGAAAACAGCATAGGAGCCAGGAAGTTGCGCATTGGGCAATGCCTCCAGGGGTATATTGGCAAGTCGCAAGGTGTACTAGTATTGCCATTGGTCAATATATGTAAGGTTTAGTGAGCTCCATGGGCCAATGTCCAATAAGGAGGAGCAAATAAATGGCTTAAGAAGGACAGGTGGATATAATTTCCATAATGGGATAACCGAAAGTATAGAGCTACAAGGATGGGCTTATCAAATTTCCTTTTTCTAACAAGCTTTTCCTATCGATCGGGTTTAATGCAGGTACTAGAATCATGTCGCGATTAGTTTGCCTGAGATTTCTTAGGTTATTATGTCATTTTTTAAACCCATTTTTAAAATCCTTTTTTATCCTTTTTTAAGAAATTTTTATTAAAAAATAAAAAAATATATTTTTATTAAATATATTTATTAATATATAATTTTTATATAAATTATTTTTTAATTATTATAAAATTAATCATTTATTTAAATATTATATAAATAAATTCATTTATAAAAGGAAGTTTATTTAAAAAAGTTTTTTTTTTAAATTTATTATAAAATTAAATATAATAATATGTTATAACCTAGGAACCCACACCTACTTTTAAAGGATGAATGAGGGCTTAAAATAATTAATAATAATATAACCTTAAATACTTAAATGTATTAACTAATAACACATTTAACATAAAAAACACATTTAACACATTTAATATGAAAAACATATTTAATATATCTAATATAAGAAAAGGAAGGAAGGATATTTATATAAATTATTAAAATCTCTTATATATTTAATCACTCTTTTTATAATTCTTTAATTATCAATTTAAAATTTTTTTTTAAATATAATAAAAAAGTTTTAAGCCTTTTTAATAAATAAAACCTAATTAATTATTTAACCTATTATTAATATTATTATTTTTAAATTAAGATATTTTAAATTAATTAATTTAATAATGATTATATCTTTTTAAGACATAGGTTTATTATATTTTAATAATTCCTTAATTAATATTAATATTAAGTTAAGAAGTGATATAAACCATTTATAAGATATCCCATTACTATTATTAATTAAATCTTTTTTTATTTTATTAATTTTTAAAAAAAAATCTTTATACTTTTTAAGAATTATTTTTTAAAAAATATTATAATTAAATATGGAATAAATTAATTAATTTTAACATAGAAAATAAAGAAAAATTAAATAAAAAAGAATTTTAAAATAAGGATCTAAATAATTTATAATAGCCTAATCTATTATTATCTAAAATATCCATATTTATTTATATTACTTAAAACTTATTATTAATAAAAGAAATATTTCAATTCATTAATAAAATGATACCTCCTAGGATATATTTATAAGCCCCAGAGTCAGAGACTTAAAAGGAAATTAACATCAAGGTAGGAGAGGATGACTAGGAGGAGGAAGAGATTCCTGATTAACAAGTTAAGACAGTGGTTGTTATTAAGGAAATTAAGAAGTTTAAGAAAGAATTAATATTAAAAGAGGCTAGATTAAAGAAGGTCCTTAAAAGGTTCCTATTAGGAATCTTTTAATAATTAATATCTTTTTAATAATTAACATCTTTTCAGCCTTTAACATCTTTTAAACTACCAGATAATAATAATAATAAAAATAAATAAAATAAAAAGGAAAAAAAAAAGATCTTAATTAAAAAAGAAAAGAAGAATAATCCTTTTTTAATTTATTAAGGAATATAAATTAATAAATCCATTAATTTATAATAAAATTTTAAATATTAAAGATTGGTTTATATATATAAAATTTTATTTATTTTTTTATAAAAAAAATTTATTATAAAAAGAATAATAAATATTTATTATTATTTAATTCTTAAATAAAACTACCTTTATATGATTTTAGCCTATTCTGGAGAACCATTTCAATATCATTAAAAAAGAATTAAAAAAATCTCAATATATTTTCAAACTATATGAACATTTTAAAAACAAAATAAAGATAATGTTTAATAAATTATTTAAAAAAGAAAAAACATAAAAGACCATCCATCATCTTAGATAAAAAGGATAGGTTACCTTTTATATGATAGAATTTAAATAATTTGTAATTATAAAATAACTATTTAAAAATATACAATTTAATTACCTTTATAAAAAAATAGTTACTTAAATAAAAGATAAACTTTCTAAAAAAGAATAACCTATTATCATTAATAAATATATAATTAAGGTAATTCTTTATAATAATAAATCATATAAAAGATATGATGGTTATATATTAAAGAACACGTGATTTATTTAATTATCATATTCTCTTTTAAATATAATAACCTTATTATATACTTTTATAAATAAAACTTTCTTCCTTAAATAACTTAATATACATTATCTTATCCCTGTTATTTTATTCTTTTCTTTATCTTTATTTTACTTTACTTATATACATACTTACTAACACTAATTAATATTATTAGATATTTCAATAATATAAATTAACAAGGTTAAAAAAATCATTATTATAATAATTTAAAAGATTTTATCATAATAATATAATTAATAATAATATCTACCTTTATTACTTTTTAAATCTATGATAGATTATAATTTTATATTATTATAAAACCTATTTAAATTATTATTTTTATATTATAATTTAAAATTATCATTTATAATATCCTTAATTACCATAGTTATATCACTTATATATTTTATAATGGCATAAACAAAAAATTTAACATAAATATAAGCTTATAATATAATAAATAACCTAATTAAAATAGAAAATATAAATAAATTATAAAATATAATATCTTTTATCCCTAGTTATATATATATTTTTTATATAATAATTTAACCATATAGTTATTAAATAGAAGATAATTAACTTGTAAATGGCTATTCTCGAATAAAAGGTAATATAAATATTATTAATATTGGTAGATATAAAAATTATTAATAAAAATATATTACATACCTGTATTATAAAAGAAATAATAAATGAGTATTAAGAATAATTTTAAGGATTTATGGTAATAAATTTTATAAATATATTAAAACAATTACAATTAATATTATAAACAACGTTAATATAATAAGATATTTATGTAAGAAGATATAATATTAATCATGTAAAAATACTTATTAATTTCATATTATTATAAGAACTATTGATATGGAATTCTAACAAATTAAAGGAAATAAAACAGAGATGGCCAAATGCCCTGACATAAAGGATATTAATTTATAATATTAAAAAAGGAATAATTTACCTTAAATTAAAAATATTTATATATATATATGCCATATTATAACAATAATAATTAATAATCTTTAATTCATAAATACTAATATATATAAATTAATACCCAATTTAATTTATCATTCCTATTAGACTACTTTTTTAACATTTATAATACATAATATCTACCTTATAAATAAAACCATTTCCTCTTATTCCAGATAATCTTTTATTAACATTCCATATACCCCCACCCTTCCAACCTTAAAGGTCTATCATATAACCTCTCTTTTAATAAGCAACTAAAACTCATAATATTTTTCCTTTTAATTAATAAGATAACTAAAATAACCCTTAAATATAACCTATTATACATTCTTTATTTCTTATCCTACTTAGGATTAACACACCTCCTTAATAAACTATAAATAACATTTACCTTAATGCCATAATATTTATAAATCAATAAAGACATAATTTAAAAAATAATCTTAAATATAATAATAACCTTATATATAAAAGATAAATTAACTTACTACCTTTAAGAAATATATTAAGACCTTTTAAGTTATTATTAAGTAATTTATATATAATATTAATAATTCCATCCAACAATATTAAATCAGGAAAAGGAAATTAACTTCCCATAAACTTCATTTCTTCCTCCCAGATAACTTTATTACCTATACTAATAGGTAGTTATCAGATTTAAACCCTTATATTTATAAATAATTAACAAAGAAATTGTTAGTAGGTACGTACGTAAATGAAAAGAAATAACAATAATAAATAAAGAAAATATGGGGTAAGACTGGTGTTATATTATTGTTTAAGGAAGGAAGTTCTATCTACATGAATAAACAAAGAAGGTAACCTATTAAAAGAAAATCATAATAATTAAATAAATCATATGTCCTTCACCTATACAACCATTATTCACTCTATTTTCTTTTTGTAATCAATTGATTATAAATTCATTACTAGCCGTACATTTCATCTATCCTTCCAGTTGTAAATTAATTTGGTTATCCTCTACTAGTCTCTTCATAATCTTATTTGGAGATACTTTTGTTATGGCATTTACGGGATTATAGTTACCATAAATCCAATAGATATCATCTATTTCTCAGTTTTTATATAATTATTTCAAAGCCATTAAATTAATTATCAATCTCTTTTTGTTAATATTATCCATCTATATTAAATATTAATATAGAAAGAAAGAATTAATATATAGAATAAGAGGGATCTTGATAAGTAAAAGGCATTTCAGAATTGTATTGATGGTATGATGGATGATATAGTTAATATTAAAGTTTTAGACCATTCTGTAAATCTTGTTAACAAGGATACTATAAATGATATTCTTGTATTTAATAGAT